AATCATTAGTTTATCTATTCAAAATTATATCTGGTTTTATTGTCTAGAAAATCTCTCCCTTACAACTTTCAACATTCTAGGGAGGTCCATTAGACAAATAAAGCTATTTATTACACCATATCACTTAACTAACTATGGGTATCATTCTCCTGTATCTAAAATGTTGAGACTTGAAAATAACTACTCTGATAAAATCAATTTCTTTTGTGATAATGTTAATATTTTTAAAAATCTCACTCTTTGCACATGTAAATGTTTTTCATTACATTAATTGTTCTTCATTAAATACACATAAATGTGTCTATAATAATTATAGAACAAGATCTTCAGATGATGTGGTGCTGCAGGTTTTTCCGGGTTTTCCTGCAGCTGAAAAAGCAAATGCGCCACTGGAATCAATGAAGTCGCCCCGGAGTGCCAATTAATTTTTATTGTTGTTTTTATTTTATTTTTATCGTTGTTTTAATAAAACTTTCACATTTGAAAAAAAAAATTATAGTAGTAGTAGTAGTATAAGTGGTACAGTACAAGCTTTCTTTGTTATATAATTTATTGTAAACAAAAATTTGGATTTACCTATATACAAATGAATAAATTGAGATCCCTGTAAATAAACATGGAAAAAAATATAAAATGGTATTGGTTGAAATTGGTTTTTCCGTTAACCAGCTGTCGTTTCCCAACGAACGGCAGCCCTCAGAAGTCGAAACTTATTCGAACAGGGATTAACAAAATCTTACCTTTCAACGTGCAATTCCTAGCATATATACCTACATATAACCCTTGTTTCGATAGCAACTTTTCTAATAATTTTTTTTTAATACCTACTGGCATTTCATTATAACTGTCTCACAAAAAAGATTCTAAAAGATACACCTCTTTCTGATTATGTTCTCAGAAGAGACTCTTTATAATAGTAATACCATATTTATTATTTCCATATGTGAGCAGTACGCTTACACAGATATTGACAAATATCAAGGGCAAATATGACGTAAAATATTGAACAAAACAGCAGTTGCGATCATTGAAATGAAAAATCATATGAAATTTTATAACTAAACGCCACACGAACGACAACCCTCAGAAGCCGAAACTTGTGCGAGCTAAGGATTAATGAGGTCTTACCTTTTAACGTGTGATTCCAACGGATACTTTCCAACTACAGAAGTTATTAGAAAACTGATTTTGGAAAAGGTGCACGTTTTCTTGAAATTCGTACAATTAAGTACTTGTCTATTAGCGCACCTTGAAAAAATATACAAATCTTTGACAGGATTTATAGGTAGTGTTATAGAAACTGAATACTCACATGCATGATGGTTTGGCACCCTTCAATAGATTTTTCTCAGCAATGAAATGGATGGGAAAATGCTTTGAGTAAATGAAAGCACCATCAGGCAGATATTTCCTGACAGCAATCCATCCACAGTTTCCTGTTATTTTCATTCTATAAATTACAGTTATTGATCAGGTACGGTGCACAAATAAAACCATTGAAATCACAAATTGAGAACAAGTAAACTTAAAAGAGCATACTGTTTGCTTGCTTGGAATTCTATATGCTAACAATTACTACAAGTATATATTTAAGAGAACATTAGGTTTCTCATCATACGTAAGAAGTCTTAAACAGTTTCAAAATGACCCATGAGCATAACACCAATTAATGTTAACCACCCAATAAAAAAAAATTTTGATACAAGTCCACAGTACAACAACACCCTCGAGTTCTATAATAATTTTCCACAGGATTTCAAAAATATACAACATTATGTTAGGATTGGGGAACTATTTGTTTGACATGGAGCCCTACTCAGTCAGTGATTTTCAAACTTAATCTATGATTTAATAATTGTTGATATAATTGAACATGACCAACTCAGATATTTTAATTTAATTTTGTATTTGTTTTAAATTTTATGCTGATATTAATTTCATGAAATTTTAAATGGATGTTAAAATGTATGTAAGTGTAAACTTACTTACTTCTAAGAATAATTCTGTAATTCTGAAATGCAATATCTACATACTGTATTATTCATCTCTAGGTATCTATGACTATATACTTATGATGCACTGTTTGGAACCTTTGGTGTAGTAATGAATATTACTGGAGTTTTTTCCCCAACACCAAATCGTTATTTTTAACAAGAGGAAGATTTAAATTAAGTTTTAATCTTCCTCTTTGAAAATGATCACTTGGTGATCGAAACATGTGTCGAGGTGTTAAAAATAACGATTTGGTGTTGGGGAAAAAACTCCAGTAATATCTATGACTATATATATGAGTAGACTTTTCTTGCAACTAGGTATAAAGTTGTATTTAAACAAATAGAAAAAAAGCATGAGTGAATGTTTATTTTCAATTTGATATTATGATTAAGAAAGTAATGACACTCTAATGACAGAAGGTGGATTTGAAAGGGTTAAGGATTATTCAAAATATGAAGTTTGTTTTTGGTGTAGGCTGATATAAAAATAGTTTATCATTGGTGGATTCACAGTAATTATAAAATGTTTCATTTACCTTTGGCACTGAATACAGATGATTACTCGAATTTTACACTGTCCACACAATATACAGAATTGTCCCATTTTACAAAAAGTATCCTTATACACTATATAAAACTATTCCTTATTACTACTGAAAAATGTAACCACACTAAAATAACTGAGAACTAACGAACGAAAACTATATTAAAAAATACGAACAATGTAAAGATTGGGATGACAAAAAATTTCAATTTCAAAACATCAAAAGTTGAAAATTCTTCTACGAAAATTAATAATTTCGACAAAGTTGGACCCGGAAAACAACAGTTATTCTTTAAAGTTGAATTTATCCACACTATCCCATTAAATAGAAAAAGTGCTTAACTAAACAAGTGGTTTTTCAAAATTTACTGAAAAACATATTGTAAATAGTTTCGAAATATATTCAAAGGCAGCAATAAAATTGGACATCTTTTAGAAATTATTCTATAAAATTTATTCTTCCAATAGATCTTTCGACATGTATTCTGGCTTTTGCAATTTTGTTTGTAATCCTTTCCTCTTCAGCTGTAAGTTTATCTCTTTCCATCAAGAACGGAGGTATATACACTTTAACATCCATTTCATCACATAAATGTCAAATAAAAAAACATCTGTAAGCCAAAATTACATAATTTTCCTCTAGAAATATAGCTCGACATCTGAAATTGTGCCTTCAAAACCATCACTGCAGTAAACACTAGCTCCACTAGGACAAATCATTATCAAGAATTTAATGGTATTTGAAAGTTTATCCCTTTCAGACCCAAGATCAAAAAAATTGTATTTTCTGAGCGAAAATCACATTATATGCTAAACAAGCTATGAAATTGAAGAATCAAATCATGTTTTTGAATTCAAAGGACAATCTACAGGATTTCAAGGACACTCACAATTGTGTTGTATCGTTCCAAACAATTAAACCTCACAGTTGTGATGTGATTATCATTAAATAAGAACATGTTGTAAAATATTTTATTAAGAATTATCTTTTATGAAATTTCATAAAACAATTTTGGTCTTTACCAAGACACAGGTACACGTTACATTTACTACACCTTGTTCTTGATCGGCTACTACAGGCCTCAAGGCGACAATTCAATGGATGCTTCAGGCTTTCACTGATGGGCCAGTGATCGAAGCAGTCATACCTTTTATCCTTACATGGCATTGGTGTACATCTGGTTTTTTTTTCGTTAGGTTTGGAAGAATCGTTTTCGTCATTTTCATCTTCCCTTTCGCGTTTTTTCGTACCACAAGAAAGGAATTCGGCCAATTCCAATCTGAATNTCTGTGATATTATGAAATCAACCAATCCCAGAAGTCTCACTTAATTTTTTTTCATATCATCCAACCTGTAGGCTCAAATATCAACCTTTATTGTTGACATCATGCACTTAAAAACAGAAAATAACTTCAACTGAAATTAACTTACTTGCTGAATTCATGTTGATGCACGAATGTAAACAAAACACTGTGAAACGCTTCATACAGGTCTGCTCAAGTTGGCTGTTACGCGTCAAATGGCGGAACTGCGGCCTTCTGCGCATCAATACGTATCCTCACAATCGTATGATGTCGATATGAACCTATTCGATCGTAAATTTGATCATATTGTGCGGCATGTAGTTCACCCTCACAATTGTAACTACCAGGAACGAAAGGGATATAAGAAGAGAAAGTATTTCTTTGATGTCTGAAATTTGAAGTCATTTCCATAGATAATTCAGTTGCATCTAGAACAAAATTAACATTTTCACTAATTGTGTTTTCTCTTGTATTTATTCTTGTATGAATTTTCAAACTACTCATTACGGTTTCATCCAGAAAGTTATAAAAAGCTTCAAACTGCCATAATTCTAGCCCAGAAAAATATTTGAATTCCTCCGGGGTTTTCTTCAAATTTTCAAAAGCAAATTTATTCTTATTCGGAAATGTTCACCATCATCTGTAGAAACTTCACTTTTTGATTGTTTGACACTTTCACTTGGTAAATAAACCCAACGATTATCTTCAATAATTCCATTATCACCAATATAATCGTGATCATGTAGATGATAGTTATGCATATGATCATTATCTTGAACTACTTCATCTTCATTAGCTGCTACCAGAAGCGAGTCATCACCAGTATCATTTGGTGGACAAACGAGTGAACTCTCAGAATGTACCATGGATTATTTTCAGCTTCTACAAATTCGGCAACTTCAGTTGGCTCTATACAAAAGGGTAAATTTTCGTTTTGAGGGCACCCGGCGATTTTGAAAAAATTTTTGTGTGTAGGTACTTACGTATTTTGATGCGTAGATTACGAATCCGAAAGAAAAAAGCGGCGCTCTCCCTTATTCACAAAGTTACGGCCCTTCAAAGTTCAGAAAAGGGCAACTTTTCAGCCTTCTTTTTCGCAAAATAAACTATTTAAAAACACAAGCATTTTTCACTAGGTTACCTATACACCTCATTCCTCCTTCTTTGACACTTTTCACTTCAATAATCAACATTTTTCATTTTTCCAATTAGGCATTCCAAACCACGTGACCACATCTGCTTTATCCATAAGAGCTAATGGTTGTTTCAGTTGTGTTTTTGCTAGTTTATGTGTATGTTCGTAAATTATTTATATTTTGAGGTGTTGTCGAGTTATTTTTGATTGTCCACACATTCATTTAATAATGCAGAGTGATTATATGAAGAAGCTATTATTGGAAAAACGAGATGTTGGAGAGAGGTAGGTTTGATGAGCTGTTTCATTGTTTTCGATTATTTACCTGGTTTTATTCACAACTTGTATTAGTTAACAGCATTTGAACATGGCATTTTTTTATAGGTATGAGATGAAGTTGAAACTAATTCAAGATGTGGATCCTTTCACACTCACAAGTGATGATTTGGATTATTCTCTGAATGACATTCCACCAGTAACAAACATGAATATTGTCACATATTTACCAGAATGTCATCGTCATTTCATCCAGGTTTGGAGACCAGCTACCCTACCCTTTTGGCTGATTGTTGGTCTTGGGAGGGACCAATGGGTTCATGACTGATTGAGGTTCATAACTGATTGGTCACATATTTAGTGTTGACACATAGTTTTTATACCAATGAACAAATGAAAGCCTTCAAGAGTCTTGGAGCTCATAAGTATTTTACCTCTGGATTTGTTTTGAAAGCTGGGACGAAAGTTATAAATGATTTCTACGTATTGGTTGGAAAGGTAAGTTTATTTTAAGAACTCAGTGCGCATTAAAGGCTCTCTAATAACGAAATGATTCAAAATGGCATTCATATGTCACCAAAAAAAAAAGAGTATAATAGATTACATTTATTTTGATAGTTTTAATTGGCTCGAAAAGAGGATTGAAAATATACCGGTCTTTCTTAAATGTTCTAATTAAACTATGACAGAAACAGTTTCAATCCATTTTTCAAGTAGATCGAAGTTTTCGACAAAGTCAAACAAATTATTCACACTATTATTACTTTCACTAAGTATGTTTATAAGATCATAAAACATGTATTGTTACAACTACCATTGTCTGCTAAGTATTTATACAATAGTAAATTAATGATTTTCTTTCAGGTAAAGCATTCCCAGAGAGCAAATGCAAAACCTCTTGATGTTTGATGCATTGTAACTAAGGACGGGTCAATAGCTACAGCGAACTGTACTTGTATGGCAGGTGCCAGTGAAGTTTGTAGTCATGTTGGTGCCATACTGTTTGCTGCTGAATATGCATATCAAAAAAGAATTCATCTTCTTGCACTGATTTTGGTGCCTTGTGGCCTATTCCATGTTTATCTACGGTAGTGCCAATTGAGCCTCTAAGCAAAATGGACTTTGGACAAATTGCAGTACCTTCAACAATGCAACAAAAGACAGCAGTGCCACAGATGACTGAATCCGATATTGTCAATTTACTTACAAGGATTGAGACTATTGGCAAAAGTGCAAGTTTAATGAGGATTGTTGAGCCATTTGCTAATAAAATTTCTGGGACTGTAAATGTGAAGCTTGCATTTTCATTGGATATATACCAACAAAATTACAAATTCAAAACATATATTGAATTGATGCAGATATGAAAATCTATCAATTTATGTTTTAAATAAGAACAGTGCAACGAAATTGAGAAAATCACTAGGAAACAACATGCTACTAATAATTAGTATTTACATAGGGCTGGAAGAATAACAGCTTCAAAATTTAAATCCGTTTGTAGAACAAATAAAGAGTCACCTTCTCACTCACTAGTTAAAAGCATATGTTATCCAATTAAAATATTGTTTAGTTCTGAAGCTACTACTTGGGGGTTTAAACCATGAAAAAATTGTTGTCAAAAAATATAAGGAAAGTATGGAAGAAAATCATAGATCCTTTATTATAAATGATGTAGGGTTGATGGTAAATCCAAAGTGTCCTCAACTGGGTGCATCGCCAGATAGAATAGTATTTTGTGAATGTTGTCTGGGCGGTTGCTTGGAAATTGAATGTCCTTATCTGCTCTCTGTAAATAATATACAAGATATACGTGAATATGTGAAGTGTAAAAATTCTTGTTTAACTTTGGAAAATGATAATGTGACTTTGAACCGAAGCCCTTCTTATTATTATCAAGTACAGATGCAAATGTTTGTATCTGGTCTATTGTATTGTGACTTTGTCATTTGGTCTCCAAATATTTTATTCCAAAAACGTATTCTCCGGGATTTGGATTTTTGGAACAAAAATAGTGAAATTGCTCTTCAATTTCATTCAGAAGTGATTATGCCAGAACTTCTAGGCAGATACTTCACAAAGAAAGGGGGAACTGTCAGACTAGCCCACTGGTGTATATGTAAGGGAGTTGATGATGGTACACCAATGATTAGGTGTGAAAATGATCTGTGTGAAACTCAGTGGTTCCATTTTGAATGTATTGGTTTGGTAGTTTTACAAAACAACGTTTGGTATTGTAGTAATTGTGAAGAAATGGAAAATAAACAATAAAAAACTTTTCAATAACATTACAATATTTGATTTTTATTTATTTTCATTCCATGTCCACAGCTTAGATTTGAAAAAATCAATTCTGTTTAAAAAAAAAATCTGTTTTCCGTTAACCAGCTGTCGCACCCCTACGAACGACAACCCTCAGAAGTCGAAACTTGGTCGAAACGAGGTCTTACCTTTTAACGTGTGATTCCTAGCACGGGTTGGACGGTAGCAAGTGAAAATCGATCGTTCAGACTAGGGCTTGAACCACCGACCAACACGGCAGTCAGTTCGAGTGAGTTCAGAGCACCCCACGCCGAACCGCTTAGCTACCGACTGACCATAGAGAGAAAAATATATTGCTTGAAAACGGGTTTGTTAATTAACAATGATTTTTTTTTACCACTTGTGATTAATTATTAAGGAATCATTTTTTTCAGATCAAAATTCATTTTCCCCTTTGATTGTTGATATTTGAATTTTCATTGTTTATTTAATGAAGAATTTGTTTTAAACAATAACATATTTCCTATATATCTCTACACAATGTTAAAAAAATAACAATGTATTACTTTTTCGGAAAAAACTTATTTATATTTCATATCGAATTACAAAAATTCAGTTCTCCTTTACTCCATCAATCTCACCTGGTTCCTTGTTGTTCATATTTGCATTTCTATTTGCTTTCAGAGTTTGTAGAGTATCAAACAGATGAATTTTATCTTATTTTTCACAATAAATACAGAAATCTGTGGAGTAATACCAAATTTATTAAACAATTCTATGGAATTTGATCCCATATTAGAAGCTAAAGATCATCAGTCATTGGCCCCCCACTGGACCTAGTTCTGAGTAACCTTTCCAGAAGGCTCTGGCTCATCAATCCAATGTACATTCCTCACTGGCGTAGGGGGCTCTAGGAATATTGGCAGTCAATAAACCATGAGCTTGTTCATTAAATTTTGTAATGAACTCTTCAATTTTTTTTTCTGATTTTCGGATTGAAAAGCTTCATATTCAAAAGTAGGGTGCAAATGCCGGCCCTTATCCTCCCACCACCCGTTTAACCTTGAATGACGTCACGTGGATTTTAGATATGTGCACATAATGTTGACAAATGCGTTGTCTAAAGGAAATCAAAATTCAACTATGGAAACATAATATTTGATGCAAATTATGATTTGAAAAAATCAATTCTTGGGAAAAAATTGTTGCTTGAAAACGGATTTGTTAATTAACAATTTTTTTCTACCACTTGTGATAAATATTAGGGAACCATTTATTTCAGAACGAACTTCATTCTGCTCATTGATTGTTGATGAAAGTTTATATTTGAATTCGCATTCTTCATTTGAAGAAGAATTTGTTATAAACAATTACATATTTTCTATATATGTTTTCATCTCCCTACACAATGTAACAAAAATAACAATGTACTATTTCTTCGGAATAAAGTATTTATATTTCGTATCGAATTTCAAAAATTCAGTTCTCCTTTACTCCATCAATCACGTCTGTTTCCTTGTTGTTCATTATTGCATTTCTAATCGCTTTGAGAATTTGTAGAGTATCAAACAAATGAATTTTATCTTATTTTTCACAGTAAATACAGAAAGCTGTGGATTAACACCAAATTTCAAACAATTCTATGGAATTTGATCCCATATCAGAAACTAAAGATCATTAGTCATTGGCCCCCACTGGACCGAGTTCTGAGTAACCTTTCCAGAAGGCTGTGGCTTATCAATCCAATGTACATTCTTTCCTTTTGATTGTAACTAACGTTACTGCAGTTTCGTCCTATATGAACATTCTCAAACTTAATCAATAATAATAGATATAATAACAATTCAATATCAATTCAATAACTAATACATTACTCTTTTCATTATGATCTCATACCACGTAGTAACGGCTACATCCATCAATTTATTCAATGTACATTCCTCACTGTCGTAGGGGGCTCTGAGAATACTGGTGGTCAATGAGACTTGAGGAACGTAAGCTTATTCATTAAATTTTGTAATGAACTCTTCAATTTTNAAACTTTCATCTGTTATTGTTCAAGAAGTTGTTATAAACAAATGCGCTGTCTAAAGGAAGTCAAAATTTTCCTTTGGAAACATAATCTTTGATGCAAATTATGATTTGAAATAATCAATTCTTGAGAAAAGTTATATTGCTTGAAAACGGATTTGTTAATTAACAATGATTTTTTTCTACCACTTGTGATAAATATTAAGGAATCATTTTTTTCAGATCAAACTTCATTTTGCCCTTTGAGTGTTGATATTTGAATTTTTATTGTTTATTTAATAAAGAATTCGTTATAAACAAATACATATTCCCTATATATGTTTTCATCTTCCTACACAATGTAATGAATTTTATCTCAATTTTCACAGTGAATACAGAAAGCTGTGGAGTAATGCCAAATTTATCAGACAATTCTATGGAATTTGATCCCATATCAGGAACTGAAGATTATAATCTTAGTATATAATCTTAGTAATATTAGTCATTGGGTCCCACTGGACCTAGTTCTGAGTAGGTATATGACAGGAACATCGTGAAAAAATAATTGCTTTGGCAGCTAACACGTAAATTACCAAAATATATATACATATATATTGCGGCACCCTTATCGTATCTCATGGTAGATCCTCACTATGTCTGGAAGAGCTCTGAAGGGACTTTTTCCAAGTCAACAGAATTGGCTCTGAAGCATCTCTCTGTGATGGTCACTTCTGCGTCATCTGAAATTTCATATTTACCAAAGCAGGAAATATAATGTTATTTAACAATTTGTTTGTGGCCTTGTGGTTGCATAGGGTAACCACCTTTTTTTTCGAAAAATATTCAAAATATAACAAAAATTCATCAGTTTTTTTTCTTGCCCCGATATACCCTTAAGTTATTCAATTTCATAATAATTCGAAAAAAAAAAATAATTCCGTCCACAAAGGGTGGATGACGGTAATATGTACTCTCTAAATGGTCCTTGTTCTCGCGGTAAACGGGTTTTCATTCTACACGCAGACAGTAAATAAAACGATCATCTGCTGACTACCATGAAGATATGACCGCCAGTCTTTTTAAAAGTAGTTTGATGAACAACTGCTGCCAAATCTTTCCCCAAATTCTCTTACTGTTATAGACAATGCGGGTTATTATTTCCGTCTACATAACAAAAGTTCCTAATATTAGCACAAAGAAAGAAAACGTTCTCAAATTCATAAAATTATATAAGTTCTGAAAAAGGCTACGAAAAAAATGTTATTGGAAACTTAAAAAAAAAACTTCAATTAAGAATATGTTATCGACAAAATATGCGAAGACCATGGTCATACTTTCCTACTTCTTCCCTCTATTTTTGTGAATTCAGTAGATGGTGATTCCGGACTAGGAAACCAACGAACGGTTATTGATGGGGTAAACGACAGTGGTGAATAGATGAAATATGTCCAGCATGTCATAGAAAAAGAGAATGAATATTACATTTCAACTTCCGTTGACCCCATTAACATAACCCCAAATTTACATTCCAGTTCTGAAAGTTCAGATAATGAATCTTGAGTTTTTATTAAATTCTCATGTAAGTACAATCTGTTTTTTTGTATTACTTTCCACTACTAATAAGAAAATCCGTGTAGGTTTATGAAAAATTTACAATTCCTCCCATGACATACAGAGAAACTGCCGACGTTCAGTAACTATTTAGTTTTTATGCCATTCAAATTGACTTCGTATATACTATACTTGGCAGTTATCATTGACAAGCAAATAATAATAGTAAATGACATTTATTATTATTATTTTCTTCAAGTTATTGAAATTGTGCTCAAAGAAATTGATAAAATTTAAAAGCCTTTTCATAGTGTTACTAATCAAATAAGTGTGACAGCTAGCAAAGCCATACCACTATACATATTATCAAATGTTTAAGAACTGTGTTAGATACAATTACGCCAAATGATTTGGCAACACGATTGAAATATTCCTTCTAATCGGAATTTGGTAAAAAATATTCGAAAACATTCAAAAAGTGCATCTTTTTTTCTGTTGCAACATTTTTGGAGCCTAGATTAAGAAACAAATCATTCAGATGAGCCTCTATCCTTGTCAAACACAATTAGTTATACCGACAAATGCTTAAACTTGAATACTAAAAATGATGATAATTCAATAACGACTAGTTCTGAATCAGTTGTTTCATCAAAATCGACGGTTGACGGACAAGATACCTAATTTTTCCAGAAGGCTCTGGCTTATCTATCCAATGTACCTTCCTCACTGTCGTAGGGGACTCTAGGAATACTGGCGGTCAATGAGACTTGAGAAACGTAAGCTTATTCAATACATTTTTTAATGAACTCTTCAATATTTTTTTTCGGATTCAAAAGCTTCACATACAAAAGTAGGGTGCTAATGCCGAGTACTATCCTCCCCTCACCCTATTGATCTTGAATGACGTCACATGGCCTTGAGATATGTGCACATAATGTGACTTTGAACGTGAAGTTCGACCTTGACACTCGACTCTTTGATGTCCTTGAGATTGCGCTGTTACGAAATTTTGCAGTAGGTATTCGAGCAGTGAATATGGAAAAAAATTCAATAGGAGTGACGACCTGCGTCATCATCAGCGGGATTCCTTTACTTGCTTGAGTATCGATCTGATTTTTCTGTTGGAAATATAATTCTTTGAGAGGCACATAATTCATTAAATCAGCTGAATTTGGCGCCAATTTCTGTGATAGTTTAGTGAAAGTATTAGGTCAGTAAAATGAAAGGAGAAGGGGAAATTTTCCGCTTCAATGAACAACATTCAGCTATAAATGCTGTGACACTCATCAAGCAGTTATTAGTTCCAATTTGTTTTGTGCTTTGTTCAAGATGTTTCATTTGTTTCCTGTTATTGCCGCTTCCTGCTGTCGTATGGTACCCCTACCTACGGAAATATGGGCCCTGATATTTCGGTGAGTATCT